CAGATCTTAAATGGTGTTAAAGGAAGCTAAGAAAGTTAGGCAAGACCCCAACCTGGAGATGTGCTTCCCATTGGACCCTGGCTCCCATAAACCCAGAATCAAGCCTGTAGCTCTGCTCAGACTGTGGAAGGGACTTGTGGAAGGGGCAGGATACGCACACCTGGGAGCAGAGAAATGCACATGATACTCTCCAGCTTTTTCAGTGTTCAAAAAAAAAAAGAAAAAGAAAAAAGGATCCTTTGGAGCAGGAGCAGGTGGTGGGTAGGTACAGCATGGTGGTCCAAATCAGCTTCCAGTTTAGAAACAAGTGTAATGCATTTCAATGTTTCTGATGATCATAGACTTCTCAACTTGTCACCTGAATCCTTCTGTTCCAACAGCAGATGTGTCTGTCCTTGAATGTTAGCAGGGAGCAGAGGGAGCTGCTCCAGAGGAGACAGCTGCAGAAGTTATCTCACTGCAAATTCCTTCATGCCATTTTCTATTTGCATATTTTAAAGCAAGCTGTATTCCTCCAAGGATGAGAAGTATTTGCAGCAAAACTGTGCCCTATTGCAAAGGAGCCACAAGCAGGAGATGGTGTGGCCATAACAGATTGTCCTGCTCTGAATGTCCCACACCTCCAGTACTTTCCATCCCATAGTCCAAGGGGGAAGGCTAGGGTGAACTTCCTACTTGTGGGAGAAGTGCTGATCTCTATGCAGCAGAGGTATTTAATTTCAAAGCAATGTGCAACACTTAAAGCCCACAGACACTTCCAACCCTTTTTAATCTCCCTTCAGCAGGCATGTTCTAGTTATTTTCATCATAAACTCTGCAATTACTCCAGTCTAGCTGAGGGATTATCCAACCAGTTCATGCTGAAACCTCTCTCTCACATGCACTCTTGCACACTCACACACACATGCACACATATCATAAGGGAGGGGGAGGGAGTTTGAAAAAGCCACTTCTGACATTGGGAGATCTACTTACCAGATTGCCCCTCCCTGGGTACACAATAAACACCACCAAATGTCAGGCTGTGGCAGTTTCAAGTTCAAGTTAGATCAGTTAACTTCAGTTTCCTTCTTAGCTATCAGAGAGTTTGTACAACTCGTGGAGTGGGGTAGGAATCCTCACCCTTCTGTGGTTCTGTATGAAGTACCCAGACACAGTCCCTTCTTGAGGGTAAGACCTTTCTCATCATGTGCCAAAAATGGATTAATGGATTTCAGCAGTTGCTTGTTAACTGTACCTGAAACAGCTCTGTACAGCAGAGTTTAAAGTATGGTACCACTTGAAGACCCAACAGTGCTTAGAAGTTACAGAATAGCAGCATGGAGCAGCAGGGCTGACAACCATGGACAATCTGCAATGGTGGTGTCTCTGTGTTTGGCCAGCCAGTCTTCCAGTTCTCCCAGATTCTCTCAACTAGCAAAATAAAATGCATCCTTGTAGGAGCTGGCCACAAAGATGCAATTAAAATATCAGGAAGTTCTGCAGCCTTCAGAGACTGGAGTAACAGATCATTGTTTTCTACAATAATCTAAACGTAAAATACAGAGGATGACCAAACTGAGGAAAAAAAATACTAAATCTAGAGCCACGGTCATATAAACCCCTGCTGATATGCAACCATACTGCAGAACTTGTAATACCTGAACTTAAAGGGACAGTGTTCAAATAGTATTAAGACACAGAACTTGAACTCAGCAAAGTTTGGGATGCAAACTTTGATTCTCTCTGCTCCCCTGCCATTTCGGCTTTGGGACCACAGTATTCATGATATGTAGAGTTGCTTGAAAGCCAAAACAGCCTTCTTGGACTTAAGAAGTTGTGACAAAATTAGTTGTGGATGAACATATCATTGTGACTCAGAACATCTATGACTTTGCAGAGCTAAGTCACTCTGACAGTGTCATCTGAACAGAGTTGTTAACCTGTTTTACAGTAACAGTTCAAAGAGAAAAGAGGAGTGTCATCACACGCTCTGAGATGCTGTTTAGAACAGACGTAGCCTCTAGGCTCAGTGAAAATACAGGGAGCTGAGTGCCCATCACTGCTGTCCACACACCTCAGGAGCTGCACTAGGTACTCCCAGAGCACAGGCTTTCTGTAACTCCATCACCTTGTCTGTCTTAGCTGTCACCAAAATTATTCAAGCCTTCTGTACTGCTCTTTGGGGACTCGGCCCAGCTCCTTGCTACGTTTCATTGGTGGAAATAGTGCATCCCAAACAATGTAACAATGCTTCTTCATCAAAGTGAAGTTGATGGGAATAGCTTAAAACACATTGCCATCTGTCAAGTTCAGAGGGTGTTAACAAAGCCTGTTTAAAGCCCTCCAGCCCAGAGACAAAGGGCCTCAATTTCCTACTGTGGGATTGGAGTAACTCCCCACCATGGCAGTGGAAGCTATTCCAGACCTACAGGAGAAGATCTGGGCCCAAACCTGAAATGGCCAAGGACTGACTTACAGAGTCTTTCCTGGTCTAAATGCAGGCCTGCTGCAATTCCTTCCAGCTCTGTGAAGACAGCTGTTTCCCCCACCCCCCACCCCGTTCAGTTCACAGACATGCAGAATTTTGCCTCATGTCCCTCCTCTTCAGGACTATTTTTATCTCTAAACAACGACAATTCGCAAGTCTTGGACAGAAAGCAAAGATCCGTATCAGCTATCAGCAAAAGAACTAATCAGCCTGTGTCCCTAAACCACAGTGCAGCATGCATGGAGGTTAGAGAAGCAGGCCAAAGACTCTCCTTCCAAAGGCCTTCTAGCAAGGCCCCTGAAATGCTGCAGAACTGGCCTGGAGTCACTGCTAAATGTAATGATTGTCCTTATGGCCACAATCATTTTACCCATCTGCCATCACCAGGGGACTGTGTATTTGCTCATTCAAGTGAGGCAAAGTCTTATCGTCATGGCCAGAGTGTTTGTGTAGTGTCTCCGTTCTAGGGCGGCTGTTGAGAGCTCCATAAGGTTTTTAGCAACTCCCTCTTCCAGCACCCAGCTACAGCCTCTCTGAGGGGAGACGGAATGGAAAGGAAGGAGCAATGTCCAAGTTTTCCTTCTCACCCCAGCCTCAAACATTCCTCCAATTTACAGAATGATTCATAAGCCATCAGCAACACACTGTCTTCAGGGAGAACAGCAGGAGGAAGATGGTACAGACAATCCCTTTGCTAGTGAAATACTGGCCTGGGCCAACATTTCACCCAGGGCAGGGGGTGGACAGGATCTCAGCCCCAGTCCATCATGCTTGGGACTTTGGCAGAAGAGAGTTTAACTTTTCATTGACTAGCATTCCCCAGCCAAGCAGATATTAAGGGAGACTACAATACACATCCAGCTTCCAAAGGGTTAGCACAGCAGGCAGGAGAGGAAAGAGATGGATTTGGCTCATAATAGTCAAATTTCAAGGGTCCTCTCTCTACAAAAAAATAAGTCTGCAGTCAGAACAGCCAAAAGCTGCAGGGAAGTTGGGGCTGGGGGAGGTGATGGTCTGGCTGTTATAGGTATTTCTGTTGCTCTTCAGAGCTGAATGCTTTTCCAAAGGCCTAGCAATGATATTGATTTCAGTCTGAGAGTTGCAGATTCCTCCCCACCCACCCTCCCACCCACCCTGAAGTGACTCTCAGCAGGATGCACTGTGGCTGTAAGTCTTCTGCTTAACAGCAAAGCAACACATTCTGGCAACATCTTAAATATATTCATAGGACATCTGTGACTGGGTTTAGTGGGGAACCAAGTGGGGTAAAGGGAAGAGGAGTGAACATGAAGAGGGGGATGAGGGAGGAAAGGGATGGGAAGGTTTAAAAATGTTAACTGTTCATGAAAGACAGAAGTCGTCTTCTGATATAGCAGCACTTTAGCAGTCAGCCGCGCCGAGTAGACCCTGTCTGAGATCAACCGCATGCCAACTTTGTTCCAGAAACAAGTCTGAGAGCCTCTTTCTTCAGCAAGTATTGGTTACGTGGATAGTTCTTTTGTCCTGGCATTTAAATACTGCAGCTTAAATGAGTCCTGGGAACAAAAAAAAACAAACAAACCAAACAAACCCCATTTGTACTAAACCTTTTAATGATTTAAAAGAACTTCTGATTGACCAGAGTGTTTAAGAAAATCAAGATGACAGATCTGACAGGTCTGGAGCACCACTGTACAGTTACCAAACAGGATACAGGATGTGTCCCATAACAGAGAATTTTCATGGGAAAATGTCACTGTGGACACCCCTTTGCAGAAGCCTGTCAGCTCTTCTGCCATTTTTCTCAAGCTATTAACAGTAATTGTGCACGTACCCACCCAAGCAGGCAATCATGCTATCCCACTTCACTCATATACATCAAATCCACTCCACAACTGACCCAAATATATGAAACATTATGTCCTCCCCATGCTGTGCTGGCAAAGACAAAAGGGTAAGGTGATGAGCAAAGAGCCAGGCTCTGATATGAACAATTTAACACCCATGCTATGTGAGACACAAGGGCTAGGCCCCATCAGTAAATTACTTTGAACATTGATGCATCTCGATTAAATTTGCCTGGGCTTGTGCCTCAGTGTCTCCTCCCCATGCCAAACTGTAATCTTGAATCAGCTTGCTGCAGAGCGAGGAGAATGGTCACCCCTTCAGAGGGAGGGAATAAAGCTGACACTTCTTGGCAAAGCCCTCCTGCCTGGTGACAACTGCCCAGGGTCAGGCCATCTGCATCCCCTTGTTAGGCAGCAGCTGCTCTACTCGCTCTGCAGAAACCCTTCTTCCTTCTGGACAGCAGTGATAGCTGATTTAATTATTGATGATAATGGACAGAGGAGGAGGAGTTCTTCAGGGGAAGCCACAGGCACCACATGCCACATATCCTAAAATAAAGTCCCTATTCTAAGGTATCAGAACCATTCCTGTCCTTTTACAGGACACTGTAATTTCTGCACAACTAAGATGAGAAATACTGATAGACCTGGCTAGTTATTCAAGCAACATGCTTGCACTGCATCCAGTGTCACCTTTGAGCCTCATTTTGTTTATTTATTTTTTACCTGTGCGAATGTGAGGTACAGTGTAGTGTTATTTATCTGGAGATGTAGGTGTATGTTCTGGACGGGGAACGAGTGGATTCTGCTTGGGCAGCTGGGTCATTCAGAAAATCCCAGATGAGGATAGTGTCATCATGTGAGCTGCTGACGATCTGGAACTCATCAAACTGAAGTCGAAAGACTCTTCCAGAATGCTCCTAAATGCAAGTGGGAGACACAGCATGTTACTTCGCAAACCAGCTGGCACCTGGGATGGAGCAAGGAAGATGAACTTGGACTTGATTCTAGTGTTACATTCATTTCTCAGAAAATCCCACATGACACACTGTGCATCACCATCACAGAGCATAAATTAAGCTCCCTCTCAGTGAAAAGGGCTTCCCATATCTGAGGACTTGGCTCCTGGGAAGTTTACATTACAGTTGTCCTTAAATCCCAATACTGGATACACACTGCAGAACAAACCAAACTCCCTCCACCACACAGTTCTGCCTGGCGAGGATGACAGGTGCACTGCCTTCCTTGTTCCATGGCAAAACTCCTTCCTGAAATTACAGCATTCCCAGATGCAGTAGGTTGCAGGGGAAGAGATGAGAACTTTGCATTCAATGCTTGGCACCACTGCCACTGCTGAAGAGGAGAGAGCTTAACACTGGAGGACACACTAAGGAGTCTGTTGTAAAGTCCAGTGACACAGTAATAATTCCTCTTAAGCAGTTCTAAAAATATGAACTAGAAAGGGCACTCTTTATAGGCAATTTGCATTGTGCTCCGAGGCTGAGTGGAAATGGCATGACGATTTGGCAAGAGTTCAGACCGTAATTAACAGGAGGCAAGGGCAAGATCCTGGATATCACAGAGCAAATCCACTATGCTTTCCCTTTTGTGTTGCCTGTTTTCTCTTGGTGCTTACACTGCTGCAAGAGCAGTGGCTGCCTCCTCGGTCAGAAGGGAGCAGGAATTGTGCAACTAGGGCGAGCCCTATCTCTTTACACATTTCTATTCAGTGCTCAAACATTGTAAGGGGCTGAGGGTGAAGAAAGAAACATGTCTTAAAATACTTCAATACTGAAACTACAGATTTCTCACACATTTAGACAAAAGAGAATTGTTAGTTACTGAATGGGAAGCCTTTGCCTTACAGCACAAGACCACCAAAATACAACCCACTTTGCAAAGCACAACAGCTGCTTTAAAGTGAATTTCTGAATCTTTAAATTAACTGAAAATAAACACACACACAAGTCAGATTCTAGTTTTAAGACACATTTTTTAAAATTTCTAATCAATGGAACCTTTCTGATCTTCTAACTCTAACAGTCTTCCCACCTATTCTAAAAAGAAGTGTTTTTTTCCAGAGCCTGTGCAGTAGCAATAAAGGAGTTCGTGCTAAAAAGTATCACTACAGCGGTGAGATCCATTGAGGGATTGCTTACAGGGACAATGAGAGAGAGAAGTACTTCCAAAAACTGTTTCCAAAACTCCCTTTTTGATCACAGTCACTGTAGGCTAAGTAAGGCTGCCCTACCTGGACTGTTCAGGTCATAAGGAAAGCTGAACAGTGTGCTTATTCTGTGCATGGAAAGCTTCTGTCAAATTCATGTGGACACCATTCCAGCTAACGGAAGACAAAACTGGAAGGGACCTGGCATGCAGCGAACATTTGTTATCTGTGCACTTTCCTCCTACTGTTTGAAAATTGAACATGAGCAGCAGGAGACTCATGATGTTCATTGTGCAGCCAGGTTTAATTTTGGAGGACGAGGGAAGAGGAAAAAAACACACCAAACTGTGGGTAAGTGGGTATAAGGACACCCTGTTGTCATAGAAGTCCTAAAAGCACCACAATAGCTTCCTCTGCTCCCCACTCCCCTTTGGCCCCCTTCATCACTATCAAACAGGGATTTATGAGTATCCATGTGTGGAGATTCCTACAGTGTTTCCATCCCACCGCTTCTGATTTATAATATAATTAGCTGGGGCACTTTGGCTGTCCACTGCTGGAAAATGCAGAGGAAATCACACCAGTTAAATTAAGTCTACAAGTTACTAGGTATGCATTTGTCTCAGGCTGAAGCAGTAACACTACCAAAAGCCTTAGACTCTCGGGATATGTGCTCATGGGCATAGAGTTGTTCCATAGTTTGGAACTGGGTGGCCGATGACACAGGGTTTTTCTGGATTTCAGCCATGAAACTATTTGCAGTTCTATTTGGCTAACAAGAAGGTTTTTCAACATAGTACCTGCAGGCATCCAAGGCTCTCATGGACTCTTACTCTGCAGCTTATGGTCCAAATACATGATTGGAAAAGAGCTAACATGGCTTAATGATGTACTGCCTGTCAGCAGTAACCTGTCCCAGTAACCCCCACAGCCTGCACCAAATGCCAAGTAAAATACTTTAGCGAGATCTACAGCAACAGTAGCAATTCAGGTGGTCGATGAGTGTGCGGAAGGTCAGCCAGCACAGCTCAGCTGGTGAGAGGTAACCACACTTTTAGAGAATCAGACAGCCTCGGTATGATCCTGGTTTAGAGCACAGATTACAGTCACATGCAACAGCAGGAGAAGGTCTAACATATACCAACCCAAACACTTCCTAGCTAAGAAATAAAAACATTTAGTGCTTCTTTTTCAAGGAGAATTTGGTACTGGACTGAAATCTTCCTTTATCCCCAGCAACAGTGCCAGTTTTAACGGTTGAACATGGTAGAGGAACACTTACTGGAACCCTTCCATGGCCTTGGCTGTTTTTCTCTGGCATTTTTCTCACAACTTTCCCATGTTACCATAAGACCAGTGCAGAATCACTGCTAAGCATGGCTGTGAGTGTTGTTAACACTCACACAATGACATTTTAACCACACCATCATCAGACCTGCACTAAAATCCAGTAGATGGCATGAAAGGAGTAGTTGCTGTTTAAGGATGAGGCAATTTCACTGTCTGTTCCAGTCCTTACCTGGTTTTTCCTTAAACACCAAAAAGCCAGTTAAAAACAATTCCAAGGCTGTTTTTGTTCTTGTTCCTCAAATTTGGAAAGTAGTACACTTCTTCATGAAATGTCATGTCAACAATTCAGACAACTTACTACTACATTATCAGGTACACACAGGTTGAAGTAAACCCACTGTCACATGCAATCCTAGAAGGCTGAGTCTCAAAAATTGATTTAGTCACTAACTTCAAATCACAGAACAAAACTGTTAAAAAGTGAGTGAAAACTCCAGAGGTTCTAACTTCTAATGCTGGTTCTAACTTTGCAACATTAAAAAAAGTTGGGACATCCAAAAAAGCCAGATCCCTAGAAATGATGTCTAGATCCTGCAGACTGGGGTTAAGCTGACTTGAGTTTTCATGGCTCAAGATAGCCCTAATCAAGCACACTTTTCCCAACACCCCTACCAAAAACTCTTACCACAAGGGTTCGCAAGCACAGGGTCCCTGCTGGAGCACGAGGGTCCAAAGCAGCCACAAGATCCCATACTTTAATTTTCCTAGTAGTGAAAAAAGAGACATCATGGCTCTGTTAAAGAGAAAAGAGCAAGCACTCACAGAAAAAAAAAATATTCGTACAGCTTAGCTAATACAACAGTTTGAAGAAAATTACAGCAATCCTTCTGCTCTTGAGACCTGGTTCTTGCATTTCCCCTTTGTTAAGGTTATACAGCTTAATGGGAGGAAAAAATGTGCTGTCAACAAAGTAAAACACATGAAAACCAGCTGGTAATAACTAACAAACACGTGGGAATGCAGACACCTAGTCTGTAAAGGCAAATGGTCCTGCAGACATAACCACAGACAGGAAAGATTGTTCTTAGGATTGGTTGAGCTAAAAGAGGTTTCAAGCTGAGTTGGTCAAATATTCTTACAAGCAAAAGAACTGGACTTCTGACTTACTTCAAAACAAAAACAAAAGCTATGCGTTGTAGCATGGTTCTGACTTACTAGCCATGAAAAGGTCTTCTTGGTATTGCAGACAAAGAGTCTAATATTTATAAGGAAGACGAAGCAAAGCGGGATGGGAGACACTGAGACAGGCAGGAAGATGCAAAGCACAGACTGTGCTGATAACCTCACCCATCATATGCCCCACTGACTATCCTCTTGTTATCAAAGCGTATGCATCTCACCAACTCTTCGTGGCCTTCCAGCACTCGTAAACATGCCCCACACTCGATATCCCACAGCCTGGAAAAGAGTACAAAGAAGCATTAAGAATTTTTGAGACCTAAACATTGCAACAAAACATTTGGTCTTTGCTTGTAGCTAATGGAAACTTGGAAAAAAAGATTATGACAAAGAAGAAACGACAAAGAAGAAACAAACTACACTCAACACTCCTTTTCCTGATGTCAAGTGGATGCATGCTTTTCAACATGAACCTGTGATGTAACAGTAACACATGGGAAGTGAGTCAGAGCTAGTTGTGTCTAGTACCTACTGCTCTAGTAACACAGGATATCTCCCACTTATCTTCAGAGTGAGCTACACTTTGTTTTACTGAGGTTTCTTTTTCATAAGTGTCCTGCCTTGATTTTAAGATGTTAAGAGAGGGAGACTTACCAATCCCCTTGGCAGCTTGTTTCAGTTGGTAAGATCACCTTCACAGGGCATATGCCCCCTTCTGCTCCCCTACGTGCCTATTTCTGGTTTGGAGACTACCATCAGACAGATTAAGTAATCAATACAGTGGCAAAATGTACAAGAATTGACAAGCCCTTTTCATTTGTCATTTCTCCTACTGAAGGGATGATTACTCTGTAATCTAGGCACCTTATTCATAAGCTAAAATGGACACTATTATTTTGCAAAGCATTTCTTCTTGCTCTCAAATAGTTCCTGTGGCTCTCTGTGAACTGGCCTTTGTGATGGGTTTTCAGCATGGAGAATAAATTAAAATACATTAATTTTTACACTTACACACTACCTTTAAAAATAGTTAAGAAATGCTTCAAATAGTTATTAAGTCAATCTAGTTGTTTTCCATACTTTTGTCAGCTCTTTGACATCACTCCCAATTGCCACGGATAAAGAAAGATCATTTGCCTACAGGAGCTGAAATTCTTTGACATGTATTGTCTAGAGGTGTTCCACCTCTGGCTGAGACACGCTCTGCTCATGTAGCTCATATTGCTATTAAGTTATTAATAGCAGTATCTGCTGTGGCTCCCTGACACATAGCAGAAAGAAAGTAGCCACAAATGTTCTAAAAAGTTCTTAAATGCTCATTCAGTAACTGTTCAGACTGGCATGAACTTCACAGTAGTGAGAAATGTGGACGGTTTGTGGAAACTCTCTGGGTGACATGTCTCAAAGCACCACAGCTGCTATGGGGTCAGGTCAGCTTTGGGGAAGGGGGACAAAGAAAGAGAGAAACATATTTTACTCCTGAGGTCCCCCGGGAATAATCTAGATCTAACTGATGTGTGCCGAAGATTAGTGGATAATGACTGCAGCTGTCTTGCCACAACACGCTGCTCTCACTTTGGACTACAAATGAATGAACAGAACTCTTCTGTCACTGTAGAACTGGGAAAGGATTTGTCTATGCACATGTTTGAAGTCAATGAGGAGCACAATGTGATTCTTCAATCTGTGAAGTTGATCTTTCAGGAATCTGTGAAGACCCCAGTAGTTTTCACAGAAGTACCAGCACACGAGTCAAGGTCAGAGCAAGCAACTCCATGGCAAAGGTCAGCCAAAGGCACTATGGCTAGTCAGAGAGCATTAAGTCTCTCAAGGACTGTGAACAGGATGGACAATGCCAGAAATTAACTGGTGCAGAAAGGTCTGAAGAACAATCTTGTGCCAGGAACTTTTGTGCCATGTGTTTCTATTCCTTGCCATCAATCCTGAGAGTGCCAGCAGCTCCAGGAGGCTGCAGCACACTAATTCAGGCCTGTATTTTCAGGTCCCAGTTTGAGGTTTTACTGGAATCAGAATGGGACTTTAAGAGGTGATCATGTCCCTAGTCACATGGGGAATGGGCCTTCATGTACATAGGGGATAACTGCTATTAAGAGCAGAGCGTCCTAGCAGAATTGGTGCCAATGGTATCTCCTAGATTTGATAAGCTTCTCAAATTTCTACTTCTTTAAACAGTCAAAAGAACAAATAGTAAAAGAACCAATCTTAAGGTTTGAGAACGAAAAAAATTCACTGCAAAGGGTACATAGGCAAAAACACTACTATTCTTCCTTCCTATTACTTTGGAAGAACTTCTGGAAGTAGAGGGAGGTCTGCAATTATCTCAGCCTTTAATTCACCTGAAGTCCTGGCAGAGCTGGAAGATATACAGAAGGCAGGTAAGCCTGAATCCCTATGGCTTAGAGGAAATGCTGTTGTCTAAACAGACCAGTGTCAGATCTCCATGTGTACACACACTGGAGGTAGAATACACACATGCAAACCAATCACTCATTTAAAAATTAACCCAAGATGATATAGTCTGATTCTATTTTCTTGACATGAATTCTCTGGTTCCTTCCTTTCTACAGCACGTTTGTCTGTAGCACTTAAGAACTCTGGCCCTAGAAGTTAAGATACTGAAGTGATTGGATTAAACTTGACAGATCAGTTTCTACCAGACGGAAATTTGCACAATGATAGTGATGTGTATGTAGCTGTCCCCTCTTACACCAGTGAAATTTCTGGCCTAAAACAAAACCTAAAAATTTTTTATATGTGGAATCTTCTTACAGAAGAAAGATAATGCTTTCTCAGCTACTTCACATGTCCTTACATTTGCAGTTGTAAAACTAGAAATCAGTGTCATCCTTTCAAAAAAAAGTTTTTCTTTTAGTTCTGTATCAGCCTCTACTAAAGGCCAACACACAACATCTGGCACTTTACAGTTGATTAAAATCAAACATACAAAGCACCAAGCCACCCACAAAGATGACTTAGTAACCTGCCCTTTCTTTATCAGCCTTCCACTGACTTGTGGCCCCCGCTAATGGGTGGGAGAAAACTGTGACCAGGTAAGACTTTTGCCTTGCCCACACTGCTGCTGAACTTGACTTCCATTGAGATTTAATTTCTGACATTCCTGAAATTCTAGCACAATTTATCTGTCAACTAGAGATTTTGTCCAATGTAAACATAAAAGTAACTGCATTCCTCTTTAGCATTATCACTATTTTGACATTTATTTTTATTAGCATTGCAGGACATATCTTAGATCCTTTCCTAACTGCTGTAATATTTAACTATTTCTTTCTCTGCTTCTGAGACCAAGTTTCATAGTACAGCTTGAAGAGGGTTATTTTTTCTGTTTGAAGTGCAGGAGTTCTCACCATGTGTAACTAGTGGTACTTTTACACAATTCCTGTAACAATTTTTCCTCTGATTAAGAGACAGAAGTTCCAGCTCTTCTGGTCATGCTCTCAGACAGCCCTATATTAAAATCTGGCACAATAACCTGGTGATGTCAACCCATGGACCACTGTTTTCCTACAGAATGCAAAGCAGGGAGAGGCAGTGTGTTGCAAGCCAAGTGCACAATAGCATGAATCATTCTTGCTGAGAAGAAATTACTACTGACATGTGAAGGGTTTCTGCTTACACTGCCCAGCTCTCAAGTTTTATCAGAAGGCAGACAATTAGTTAAAGGACTGACAAAGACAAAAAGAAGGTTGCTCTTACTCCCATTTGGAAGACAGAGGCATTTTCTTAAGTCATGTAAACTAATATTCAGCTAGTTTTGTACACCCCAAAAGTCATAGGACATCCCTCTGCCTGCAGGATGTAGGAAGAAATCCTGGCTCATGATACCAGAAAGAGTTAAACCTCAGATTGCAACCAGGGCAGCTGGAGAAGTGCAAAAGGCAGTAAACTGAACTTCATGCTCTAAACCAGCTGTTCCAAACTTAACCAGGTGCCAAGTACCACAAGAAGAGTTTGGCGAGAGCCCAGGAGGATTTCTGCAGAGGATTAAATGCCTCTTACTGCAAATCTGACCCCTTTAACTAGACGCATAGCTTAATTAAAATATCACAAGAGGACATCACAGAAAGTGGTACTTGCCAGCTCCTTCATACACCAGAATTGTCAGAGCAATGCAACTTGTTCATTAGTATGGGACTCTTGAGATATAGCGGATGAAAGTCAACACAGTAAAACAGGTTTCTAATACCTCTTTCCAGTAGTTCCCCATGTTCTATACCAAAGAAAGCATATTTCAAAGTAGACAAGGGTGCAGAGAACTTCAGTTGCCTAACCTTGCACATCCCAGCGAATCAGAGACAACGTGCTTGCACAGAACTCTGAGATGGAGAGTGTGTCTCTCACCTGATAGTATTATCTGAAGAGCCGCTCACTACTAGCCTGTCTCTGTACTGCAGACATGCAATGCCTCGTTTGTGGCCATTTAAGGTGCGCACAAATTCGCAGGTACTAGTGTTCCATACCTGTGACAGGAAGGAGGGAGAGAACCACACAGAAACAAAATTATTAAGAAGAGACTAACAAAAGATGGTATCTGTATGATATATAGGTGCATCCAGAATGCTCTTAATTTTAAGATGCTATCATTAAGCCTGGGAAAATTACCCCTCCGATGGCGTGTGATTATAGTCTGCACCTGATAGCAGTTTGGGTCACTGTACATAGAAGATTTTTGCCACACCTTATCAGAATTAGCTTCCAGGTTTAGCACTGTCAGGCTACACTTTAGTCTACACATGATCTTGATTTTCTGGAGGTTTAATGCTGCAGATTGGGATCACAGAAGTAACACTTAAGTGACTCCTACCCACTCACCTTCACCTTTGCCCCCATGCTGCCCTCTGACAACTGTTTGAATGACTGATGCTGAAACATATTATGGAATTCGTCAAGTCAAAAAAGAACACAGTGAAAAAAGTTCTTTTTCAACTGCATCTGTACCTGGATCTGATTTGCCATACAGCTCTGTAAAACAGTTGTGTAAGCTCAACAGAGGAGGGACGAGTAGAAATGAGCAGCAGGAAGAACACTGCTTCTAAAGGAAGATCTGTGTAATAACTGCCAAGGACCATCTTCCCTGTCTGGTCACTGTTCTTCATTATATACCCCAATGCTGAAAGTAAAAAGCCTCTGAAACACCTCACCTTTATAGTTCTGTCACCTGACGCTGATACAATATACTTGTCATCAAAGTCCACTACGTTGACGGCAGCTCGGTGCCCTACTAGCACCCTCCTGAGAGTGATGTCTGTTGGTGAAGCCATGTCCCACACAGCGATGGAACGGTCTTTGGAACATGTCACCATCATGCCGTTATTGAAGCGCAGGTGCAGTACTGCTTCGCAGTGATGGATCAGAGTATTCAGCATCTCACCTGCATTCACGTCCCACACTCTGCAGTTTCAAAATTCAAACCAGAGAGAAGAGTTAAAAACCCGCACAGTGCATCTTCTGCAGAGTGAGAGAGAGACAGGGAGAGGTAACTGACTCTCTAGCAATATTAGAGAAGCAAACACAAGTTAGATCTACATACATTAAATAGTTCATTAAAATGTATTATATAAAGCTGTTGATTATGCATACATTGGGACAGTACAGCAGCCAAAACCCCTGCAGTGCAGTTAATACCATAAAAATAACCCAGCCAGGAAAAAAATATTCTTTAAATATGGGAATTTAGTGCTAAGGAAAGGTGGAAGACTGATGGCCTTAAAGACTGATGTTTCCTAGTTGTGTCAGCCTACCATACACTTCATTTCCAGTACATGTGGAGAAGCAAGCTCAGTAACAGGCTTGATTTTTGACCTCTACCAACTCAAAGGATAATTTATACAGAAGCAGAAGACAAGAAAATGCATTTCAAAAAAACACAAGTCATTGCCACAAGTTGCATTTACCCTGCAGTGCATCTGGTACACAGCTACATTTCAGGAATGTGCTGAATACCCGAGTTAAAACACAGTATTTATGTCAGTTTAATGTTATTGGAACCAACTGTTACAACTGAAAGATAATTTAAGATGTAAGTTAGACAAAAGTCTCATACACAACTTATAGGACTTGAAATGAAGATTTTAAGACTTAAAAATATTTCTTTTTGGCTATTCTGTTAGCAAACTTCTTTTACCCTCCTCTCCATGAAGAGATTTCTTTTGGCACTATCCCACCTGTATTCTAGATACACTCCCAGAGAGCAGAAAACGTCTGTATCATCAAGCACATCATACACTGCAGAAGTTAAAACTTTCCTCTACCACTAAGGCAAGCAGTAAGAAAAGGCAAGATGTGAGAAAGACTTCTAATGTCTTATTTTCTAAGTTATGGAGACTGAAGTGCATCAACTTATAAATGAGAAAGAAAACTACATTCCAATTACCAAATGCAAAGGAGAAAAAACTAAAGACCTGAGCCATTAACATATGAACAGTTTGCAGACAGGGTTGCCAAACTGAACAGGAGCTGGAGATCCACTGACTTCTTTGGACAAGTCCATCCCTGAGATCTCAGAAGCATTAAGAGCCCATCTGTACTGTCTGTTGGATCAAGCTCCTCTTCCTGAGGATACCCAAGGATAAAAGTGATGCATTCTATGTGCCTCTGGGGTCTGCACAAACATTTATAGATGCAGTGGGAAACGAAGTATTTCTGGGCAAGTAGCCAGTCTGCAATTTGGCCTGCCTGGCCTGACACGGAAGATGATAGTGCATGTTACAGAAATCAGCCTCTCCATTTGTGATCTGTTTAGCCCAGTGCAGTTCCCACAGCATCTCCAGGGAGGTGATGTTGTCGAAATTCCAGATTCACACTAATGACAGGACCCCAAAACCTAGCAGCACTACAAGACTACATGGACCACATGTCAGGAATTAAATGTAATGGTTATTAACTTAACAGTAGTAGCTTACATGCAAGCACGGTGGCAACCATGAGGAGCTTGCAGCCATAGGAACACATGCTAATAGCTGCAGAAAAGGCCACCAATACATCTTCTTGGTGTCTGCATGGGCATTGCTTGTACTCTGACAAGGGAGGAATATATAACAACATGGAGACAACAGACTTGTCCCTTATCCAAGTTCGTATTGCAATTCACTAACTCGTATGTGCCTGTATTTACACTACAGATCTTACACTCTCTGCGACCCTGTAAAACGACTAGTGGACTTCACATCTACACAACATGCACCAGAAGTGCTACCTTGAGGTGTCTAGCCTTTTGCTGGAGACTGGAAGGACAGCAAGGTTAGAAAGACTGAATGAAAAGAAGTAGCATGCTGAAGTTTAATTAAAAGTCACAGAAGATCCAATCATACGTCTTTTGGTTAAAATTAAGTGACAATGGATGACTAAACCTTCAAACTTGCTTTGAAAACTTCAACTCTTAAAATGTTATTCTTGAGGAGAATTTATAACATTCTCAGGGAGTGTCAAAACATACAAAACCTTGGTGAAACACCAGATGGCCTTCCTAAGTCATCTTGACCTTGACTGTCCTTTGCTTAGATTCTTGTTTCTTCTTGACAGCAATTTGCATGGACATTTGATAAACAAGGACAGCACACTACTGAACAAATATGCTGAACTAGTTGGAACTGCATAGAACTAATTTAACAGCTCACGCTTAAGAAGAGATCATTTCATCAGCTTGCAAAGCTAAAACCTTAAAGAGCCAAACAGAAAGCTCCACATCATGAGCACACACCTGACTGTTGAGTCTGAAGATCCAGTAATGATCACCCGTTCATCATACTGGAGGCACAGGACGGAACCCGTGTGTCCGGTGAGAATTCGCTTGCATTCCAATGTATTCTTATCCCAGATCTAAGACAGCAAACATTCAAAAGCAGACAGCTCAGTAAGGTTTTCATCCTTCAGCACTTACTGGTTTGACTAGCCTGTTTTTTACTACAACACATCATCCATAGTGCAGTTAGAACACCTTTAGTGGCATCTGTAAAGCCTTCTACAGGCTCTTTGCTGCAATACATTAACAACTTTGATATTACTGGCTTTACTATGAATATGGGTTTTACCCTTCCCATCAGGGTACAGAGCCCAGTAATTACACAGCCAGTAATTGCTGGTGGACAAAAACTCTGCTAGCAGAATCCGTCTGTCTGAAAATGGGGTCTCTCTAGTCAGATAAAAGAGGTATACATGCTGTGCAGGTGTGAGGTGGAGGAAGGGGAAGGAGAAGGCTAGGTTACTAACAAGAGACTGGATAGGTGTCACTGAAATTAGGACACAATTATTTATGGCATAGGCACTGCATGCCATCAGTAAGCCATTACGGACCATTCTCACCTTGATAGTATTGTCTCGTAGGCCACTTACTATCTTCTGATCATCATACTGTAAACAATAAACCCCTTTGCTTGTCTCACTTCGGCAGTGGATCCTCTGTAAACTGTGCCTTCCACACCGCCAGTTTGACTCTATTGTCTTGAGGAGAGACAGGAGACAAATGAAACACAAAAACACAGTACAGAACTACTTCCCCCTTTTTTTTGTTTGGTTGAGGAGACAACAGATACTTTTGTTCACACTTTTTCATGCAACTAAGTATATACAATGACATAACTGCTTTCCAGAAGAAGCAAAACATGTAATAAAACCAATTAAACAGACAAATGCCTGGAAAACATACTGGCTAAACTGGCCTGAAATGATGAGGAAGAAGTAACCTAAAAGCTTTTTTCTATCTCCAAGCTTTAACCCCTTGAGACACAACAGCTAAACAACTGAAGAGAAACATTCAGTTGAGCTCTACATGCTTGTACAAAGTTATCACAACAGTGTCTGAGCACTGCTTTTGCCACTAGGAAACAACCAGAACATGCCATTTTGCTCACACCAAATGCAAGCCAACCCTGCCCAGTTGCTTGTTGTTTCCCTGTGTCTTAGGATTGCAGTCTACAGCAATGCAGCTTCTCCTTGTCTCAGTTCTTGACGTCTTCCTGTAATAGCTTATTAGGTCTCATCTGCACTGGGTGGAGCAAAGTATTGTGAACAGAGGAAACCAAAATGTTACAGTGCTGCTGTGGCGTGTGATGTGCAAGGTGTAGAGACTCCACCTGCAAACAGCTCACTGGACAAACCAACTAATCCTCTCTCCACAGGAGCAGTGAAGCCAGATCGACAAAGTCCAGAAAAACACAGACATATCAGGTTTAATGAAATATTTCATTAAAATGGGAGAATTTCCAGAATTTCAGCATCATGAATAAATCAGGGACATTTGAAAAATAAAAAAAAAAATACAACAGCAAACCACCACCACATCTGGAAGCCGTTTCTTACCTCTATGTCCTGTATAATTTTGGGGTAAAGTGCTCTGTAGAAGGAGTTGGGTGGTGCAGTTCCATCAGGAGGTTTATTTTTAAATAGATATTGCCCCCTGGAAGACAAAGAACAATTCCACTGAACACAAATCATGTTTCAGCATTTTGGAGAAAGGTCCTCTTGGCATTTTACAAATGGGTAATCACTGCTGAAAAGCACAGATAGATTCATATTCAAACTAAACTTACTCATAAGATGGGCTAGTTCCTTGCTTGCTTGCCCTGCAACATGTCAGTGTCGCATTTTAACACTGAAATACCCAAGAAAAATCTATGTCTAGTCACCCAGGGAACGGAAATAAATTCTCTATCATGGACATGGGCCCATTCAGCTGAGTAAGTGTTGAGAATGGCTCATGCCCACAATACACACATATGTATCAGAGGTCACCTCTAAAATAAAGTACACAAAGTAAATGAAGGAAGTGAAGGAACCCGCAAACTCACTATGCATTCAAGGCTAGCTCTTACCTGCTTTAGCAGGAACAGGATCAGTTTTGGTACATGGACGTTTTACTGTTACTGCTATATTTTGGTAAGCAACACTTCATCTGTGGTGCCTCCCTTGTTTCAACACTGATTTGGAATACTCATATCCCAAGCTAGAGTTTTGCTACAAAAAAAATCTGTAAACGGCAATCACTACCTGCTGTGTAAAAAACTTCAATTCCTCATCCTGAAGTTAAGAAGCCACCAAACACGGTGTGGAAGCTAGTAAACCCCACCATGGGCGTACTAACTGCTGTTCTGCCTGGCAACATGCCTCGTGAAATGGAGAGAGGCACAAATGCCTCCGAGTGTAATCCTGGCATCAGAGGCACAGAGTTTACTCTGGGCCAGCTCTCCACTTCTCCCTCTCTTGCTCCATTACAGCATAATTAATTGTTCAATACTTCCTTGTGTATTTCTTTCCTGTCCTTTGCAGACAGTATATATTGAAACTCATTTGAGGGACTCTACATTAGCTGCCCTGATGCACATGAACTAGGGAAATGACAACAATGAATCAAAATTTTTAGGTTGTAAGGCAGTAGCAAACTATAGGACTGAACAAACAAAATGACAAATGCTCAAAAAAAGAACTTACGATACTTCTTTAAATAAAGGTACTTTAAGAATAACTTGAGAGAAAGGCACTTTCCACTTTGGACAGATCAATCATCTGATTCTTCAAGTACAGTGACCAGGAGACACTCATATGGGAATAAACACATGTGAAGAAGGGACAAATGGATGCAGATAAAACACTAACTAGATGGTTGCCTATTTACTGTGATCCAGTCTGGAAGAGCATTCATGAAAGTTAAAAGCATTGACCCAGACAGATGAAAAACACTTTGGAGATACACAAAATACCTGGGACACATCCTGGAAGATTTGGGGCAGTTCTGTAACAATCTGTGCACAAGCCTATATGCCTGAAAACCTGTCTGCTGTTTCTTGCTTTACTAGCTGACGCAAAACAGTCTTGTTGCTACCTTTAAGTCCTGTCTTGCTGCATGTACAATCAGTTGTTTACTGTTCAGCTAAAGGATTGCTTGGAATTTCCATGGCATCCCAGTAGCTGTTGTGCTGTAGCTCTGGGATAAAAGGAACTATTGTTTACAGGTTTTGATGACCAGCCAATTCAATCAGATGGACACAATCGTGCCCAGATTTTGGGCTTCTGTTTTATATTTCCCTAAATCTGTGTAACCCTTACTGCTCCCTGACAAGCTGTCAGTGAAGGCTGCTGTGCTGCAGAATGGGGGCTCTCTGTTGTAAACCATGAGCTCAAATGCTGAAATCAGGCAGCCCATGTGCAAACTGAGGAGCTGTAAGCAAATAACACCAGTCATCTATCATTCTGAACTGTCCAGTTAGTCATCTCCTTGTGCCAAGCACAGCATTAGCAATGATTACAAGCTATAAAGCACTACATGGCAGAGAAGCAATTGCACTGGGTATTTCTTTTCTGCCACACCTGCACCTCTATCTTCTAAAGCTAACCAGAGAGCAATCTGAAAGAACTGGGCAAAACTTGCACCTGTTGTGTCAAAGCAACCACCAGAACACAGGGTAAACCTGAAGAAGAGCTGCAGTAATGGGGTGACTGTCCTTGAGATGAGAAGCAAGATTCTGAAACTGTTTTTTAGAAATGCCACGTCTGTATGACTAGCATTTGGTGCTAATGTTATTTCTAAAGTGTGGAGAGAGCAACTTGAGAACCATCAGCTATGATCTATGACAAAATGTACAGAATGGGTAAAGTTTCACAGAACAGGAAAAAGGAAAATGTAGCTCCTGCATTTTAAAAAAAGGGAATAAGGTCCACAAAGGAAATGGAAGATTGTCCAACTCAACCAACTTCGACAGCTTAGCAGTTCTAGAGCACACAATCAGATGAGTGCCTAGAAGATGACAAGGTGAAAAACAACAGGCAACACTGATCAATCCAGAATACACCATGTCTAATTGACCAAATTTCTTCTCATGGGCTACTCTTACGGTTTAGCAAGAGAAGTATGATCTTGGAAGAGCTCAAGGGTGGATGCACAGATGGCTGGAAAGCACAGTCTACTGACAGTGCAATGTTGAACAGGATGACAACTGGGATCTTACATGGAGTCTGTCCTAGATATGTCATTATTGAGCATTTGCATTACTGACAAAGAATGGAACAGGAAGTCTATGTATTACCTGGCCAATAATACTAAAGCTGGGAGAAGCTACAAGCTTTGGAGGACAAGATTAGATTAATAATGCTCTGGACAAAATGGAGAAATACTCAACAATAAATACAATCTCATTCAATAAGAACAAGTGTCAACTTCACCACTGAGTAACAACATAAGCATTCAGGATGATGAATAATGACTAAGTAGAATGTCCACAGAAAGGGTAATTAATTTTATAACAGTATTCTACCAGTGTTAAAAAAGTGCACATGTTCTACTAGAAAGCATAAAATGAGTATCCTTCACATGATATGCAAAGCAATGGTTCCCACACCACCAAAGTGGTGATGCCTTGGTGGAAGACACCCAGCTGCTTACATCATCCTCCAAGAATGGAGCAAAGTAACTGGGAAGGGTCTACACAGAGAAAACCAAGAATGGTATGAGGACAAGTCAACATAAGATTATGATTGGTTAGTGCACCCAAAACATAGGAAACATGGCCATCTTCCAACACCAGAAAGATTATTGCAAAGAGGGGAATGAGAAACGTCCTGTGTGCCTGGGTAGGCTAAATATAACAGGTTGAACTATAGCTAGGAAGACAGACTAGATTTTAGGAAAACCTTTCCAACACTGAAGTTAGAAACAGTGAAAAAGTGAAATTGTGGAATTCCTTTTCAGGGCAATGCCTGGGGAATCTCTGTCAGTGAAGGTTTTTAAGAACAGTTAAGATCAACATCTAGGATGACTTAAGAGAAATCTGGCTCTGCCTGTGGAAAACAGGAGCAACTAAATCACCTCTCAAGGTCCTCTTAGGACTTACTCTGATCTCAACAACACAGAGAAAAAATGGAAGAATAAGGCATTAAAAGCAATGCAAAAGTTACCACTGCCATGCTGTTGTTTATTTCATACTCTTTATAAACATTACACTATTGGAAGCAGATCAAAATGCTATTTACTTCTAAAGAATGTTTCATAATCCTGATTTACTTGCCTTTACTTCCCGAGACAAACAGTATAACAAAATTAACCATAAACCAGAGGTCTTTGTTTGCAACTCTGTATCTTTTTCTTTTTAATAGCAACCAAAATGCCTGAGCTGTCACTTTTATCTTGTTTATGAAATATTCATACCCAGTTTCCTTTCTGCCAACATCCTAGGGACACCCTTGGAAAAGAAAATTATGTATTAAAGGACGTACCCCTGAGAGGGAAAGTTCTAATGAAATGTTAGCAGAGAAGCTTCAAACTTGAGTGAGACCGACATTGTAGTAAGGCTATTCCAGATGATTATTAACTAATCTATCTGCATTTCTAAAGTCCCCTATTCTCCGTGGTACCTACCCTCAGCTTCCAGTTTGAAAATTAAACAGATATCTAATAGCGAAAATCTGCTGAGGAAAAGAAACAGACCTATCAGGAAACAACTAATTCATAGCATATGCTGCCCCACTGCCACCCCTAAAAAAGCTCTTCTGCTCTGAACTGCTGACCAGTTTAGGGTTCCCCTGAGGCACACACAGCTTCTTAATTTGAACTGAATGACAGCTGGGCACAAAAACCTCAGTCTGTATATCTCACTTGACACAGTGGGATAAGAGTATGATCAGAAGAGGAAGATGAGGAAAAAGTCCCCCACGCTGCCTGTATAGGCAAATGATGCCCTAACTCCCCAACCACTGATTTTTGATTTAAGCAACTGTCAGGTTTGGAACTAACATGATGTTTCAGTATGCTAAATAACCTCTTCAAATATGGTTTGAAATGCCCAGCACCTACTGTCCTGAACAGGGGCAAAAGAGATGAAGATGCAGTTTCCTCACCATCCTCTCCTCTCTGACAACCCCCTCCACAGGGAGTCTGTCCTGACCATTCTCTCGATGAGCTTCTTCCACAGCATCCCATCCGACGTCACCCGGTACCACTCCTTGCACACCAGCTCAGCAGCACACAACGATTTGGCATCCAGGTATGACAGAATGTTCTCAGCAATGTGATCCAATCCCCGAGCTGGAGAAGTACAGCAACAACAAAAAATTATTTGCTGGGCAGACACAAAGTTTAAAACAACTCCACATGCCAGTACAAAGATACACTCTCCTTCCATCTCCTCTTCTGCATGCAGAGCTGGACCAAATGCACAGAAGAGCATTTGAGGCTAAGTTCAGGAGTGAGCAGTGTTCTCCAACTTCCTTTGGATATAGCACAACAAGTCATTAAAAATAATAAAGAATCCAAGAAGTCATTCCAATCTATTTCGATGGGTTTTAGCACTAGGGGGATATTCTATGGATGGCATTTCCAACTCAGCGATGCAGCCCCCAAAATCTCTCTATATTAGGACCATTTCTCATCTCACTGCTACAGCTGTTCTCATGTTGCAACGGCTCAAAAGATATTTTTGCTAAAGCAGTAGCTTTTAAACGTAATGAAGAAAAAAATATATATTCCCAATGTGTGCACTGAAGGGTAGTGGTACCTTTAGACATGGGGGAGGGAAAGATATGCAGATGCACAGGGACATTGAGAGGGAAGAAGAGGCTGTGTAAGGAGAAAGTGAGGCAGGTTTGCTAGTTTCCTTTCTTTTGGTGGATGAAGGAAAAATATGCACTAAAATGATATAATTTGTAAATATTTTCCAGTGTGATACCAGGACTGGCTTTACTTCAACTTGGCTGGAGTGAAATGTAAAGCAATTGCCTGGCCAAGCAGCTCAATGTAACATCTACGTATCTTGGGGCAGGGAAGGTTATGCTACATTTCTTAACTGGATGGTTGTAGTCAGTAAAAATGTGCCCTTACCAACTCAAATTTAATCACCAGCAAGACTTCAGGAAAATGGGATGCCTTATAAATGAGAAGTTGCATAAATACAATTTCTCTTGGAGGCTGATTAATTCGCAAGTGAGACACACCACCAAGAGATTATCTCACTTTACAGGTGAAATTTCAGAGGCTTTGTGAAAGTTGTAGTTTTAGACCACATCATCCCTCAGGCATAATGTTCAATCCAACCAAAAAGGAAGCACGGCACATTAGTATTACATGCATCTTCCCTCTGGTCCACATCTGGGGCAAAGTTAACTACATGTTTTCCTGCTTGTAAAACAACAGCCTCAAAGACCAGGCCCTGTTTGTGACAGAGAAAGAAAAAGCAGCAAGTACATTTTGACAGTCACATGTCTGTACTTCTGCAGACCCAAACTGGGTGCAACCAGTGGATTCTGATTAGAGTTCATGACACACAAATGGCCCAACCTTTGTTTTTCTTAATCAAAAGATCTCAAAATTATGTCCCAATGCACAAAAAAGAGAAAATTCAGCATGCCTCCTCCTGCTCCTCTCAAACATCCTAAATATAGAATACACTTTGGGTGAGACATTCTGCTCAGAATTTTATGCTTCCATCTCTGTGTAGAAAAAAGCCTGTAAATGATACCATGCACAACCAGAGCGCAGAAAGAGGTCTGACATTTCTTATCTTTATAGATGCAAAATTAGATGTCAACCTGCAAAATAAAAGCATCAACAGCCTTTATTATGTATTTAATCTGAGAAGATATGTACAGCCACTATTTAATATTCTTAACCAAAAAAAAAAAGAGTGCAAATTTAGATTGACTCTGCAGCGAACTCTGGAAAGAGAGATAGAATGTTTTAGTGAATGTGAACTGGAATTTGCAGGAATTCCACAGTTTGGTAGGGTGAACAGGGACATCATGTCCCTTTGCTTCCTGATACCTGCAGCCCTGAGCTGTCTCCACTGGGTGGACATGGCATATTTCCCAGTCTGTGTTATTTCTAATGGGTCCACAGACATTTGCAGACCCACCAGGACCCACAAATGCCTGCATGTGTGGTATCCATACTGGTGTCTCTATGTCAGAGGTATCACAGCAGGAAGTTATTTTATCTGGGGTAGGAAGCAGGGCTTGCACTTTCGATCTTGCTGCACTGAGGTGTTGTAACTACTTCCATGTCCACTAGTCATCCTTTGCCATTGATACTAGACCCTTTGCAGAGAGGGAATACTAATGTTTTGGCCTCTGTTCTTCACATTTATGGTAAGTGGATGGGCAGAGCTATTTTGGCCTGGCTGCAAACTCAGTTTTATTATTTGGTTTCTTAGGAACAGCACAACTTGCTGAGGTATATATCTGACAAAGCATTGCTTCCTTAAAAACAGAAAACTCTGTTCACAGAAGTTTTTGCTAAATGGATGTGAAACACGATTAGCCCTTCAGCCCTCTGTACTAACAAGAATGTTTCAGTTATTTCACACATTAAATCCTTATCAAATTGACTTTCCCCATAAAAAATGTTAAACAGCTTGAAAATGCTAAGCAGAGGCCTTATTTTTCAGAAACTGAACAAACTTTGTTAAGTACACAGTTAAGCTGTATTTTTCAAACAACCTTAATGCTACTCAAAGCACTGGGAAAATAATCTGAGCCAACTTTACTCTATATCAGTAAAATGTGCTCATGATCTAAAACTACCTTTAATTCTGGTCATTCTTTGGGACAGTGCTAGGAGGACAGAGATAAGATGCCTCATGATTTTGAAGTAGCTTTATTGGTTTATATACTCAAGGGGGAGAGCAGGAGAGAGAATGAAGGAGTAAAAATGAAAGCAGAATACGGAACACTTGAGAATTTCAAAAAGCTGAAAACTACAGAGTTTAGGGTTTTTTTATTATATGACTTAATTTGGAATTTTAGGTTCAGGGCAGTTTCTTACCTTTCCCCTTTCCCATTCCCCTCAGAAACCTGCCTATAATCAGGACATCCTGCACAGAATGCAGAGTCTTCACTGGTGTAATTCCTTCATATTAATTTTCTCCCTTAAATCTGTATTCACTAGGTCATCTGCACTTTTCAAATATGCAAACTGATGCACATACATTATTTACACACACATTTCCCACAACTATTAAAACACTCACATACTAGCTGCCTGGTTCCTACCTATTCTGTATTCTGATATAGTAAAATCAGCAGTTTCCTGGAGAACTGTGAAAAGACCACTAACAAACATGGTATGGCTAGGAAATTCTGGATGTCTCTGGAAATATTTTTAATATTTTATAATATTTCTAATTTGCCCAAAATTTTCATAAAAAGGCTTGTAGGATGACATTAAGCAAATGCAATGAGATGTGCTGGCTTGCTTTCATGGAGTTCTGTGGAGAAAGCCCTGGAAAAATTGTGTGTGTAACTATATGCATACTTCCACTTTAAAAGTGGGGAAACCAATGCACTTTCAAATGACTTTCTATTTTTCTGAAACAGAAGGGCTCCACAAGTTATAATGCTGCTCTAAGTACATGAGATTATTGCCATTGGACTACTAAAAACTAACATAAAGCAGGTACTTAGCATAACTAAGATTTTTTTTTTAATGCTACAACAGCCATTTGATTACTGGGCACAATGAGTTTAAAACCCAATGACTCTACCTATTTAACTTCATAGCAAAACTCCTGCAGTGCCTTTATGCTAGGTACAATTCAGTTAAACATGATTTTTTCCATCCTTTAACCCTATAACTTGAATTTCATGTTGAGAACTCCCTTCTGAAGGGAGTTCTCAACATGAAATGACTGGATCAAATAAATTGCCAAGAGTTCAGCAGTTCTCCAAGAGTATTCACAGAACAAGCTTCTGGCACTTTTCGCTCAGGTTCATCTCAAACTAAGGACCTATGGCATAGGAATGCTAATATATTAACTATCTACCTATTTATCTGTCTACAGAGGTACAATCTAATGGTCTGGAAAAAAAATGACCAAAGAGCCAGGAATTTCTGTTTGGTTCTGAAACTCTTATCACTGTATATATTTTATCTCCCACTGCCTCAGTTTTCCCACCTATAAGGCAGGGCCAATATAAAACTGCAGGTACACTACATTATGTGTGCATTCTGTGAGATACACCCAATGCCACACCTGAGAACAGCTGGGATATTTTCAATGGAAAGCACTACAGAGGTGTAAAAACTAGGACATCTTTTTGATCTTATGCTCTCCATTTTCTATTAGCAATAAACACATAATCAGAGCAACGACTTCAGGAAATTATTTTATTAGGAGAGGCAAAAAAAAAAACCTAAATAAGAAAAGTGAAAACCTCAGCTGAGCAACCAGAAAGAGTAGTAGTTTTAATTTTAAAAATTTTCGTTATTCACACATTGCTGTGGGAATTATGACCAAAACTACCTGCCCTGTGGCTTGAGATAACTATTGTGACCATACATAGATGAGCCTATTTACTCCTAGCCAAACCACGGTGGTGTTTTATCATGCCTTGAGAGACAGTAGGAATACAAATTAAAACATTACTACATTTCATACTGGGATAGAGCTATTAATTCCTAAGATGTCATCTATTTTGCAAACTGACCCTAGAAGAGACCTCTCCAGGAGGGCAGTTTTTTGAAAGGCACGATGGAAGAACAAGCTCCCTCTGCCTGCAGAAATACCTGGCAGTGCAGTGATGAAGTCCCGCTGCAACATGGGTTTGAGGTATGAGTTTATATGTCCATGCTGGTAGTGACACATCTGGGAGATGAGATGCTCCACAAACTCCACCTGGTCAGACTCAGACCACTGTTCAAAATACTTGACGCAGAGCTCCTTCTCCTTCTCATAGCTTGCAGACAGCTTTCTTTGCTTGGGCACAATCATACTGGAAGTGCCATTGGCAAGTTTTGTCTGTAAACAGGAAGGAGAGAAACAATGCAAATCACATATATGAAAAAAACCAAACCTCAAGCAGTTTGACATTTTTTAGGGGGCAGACAATAGAAGGATAAAAGCACTTGGATAAATAAAGCTGGCTGAGACCACGTATCCTGTTTGGTGCTGTCAGTCGGAGCGCAGCCATAGCCCCTGCAGGACAGTGCACTGGCTCAGGCCAGAGCTGCACACAAAAGGAAAGCACTGCTCTAGTTAGATGGGAAACCCTGAGCAGCAGTTTAACATAAACACAATTTATTTATCATGCAGACAGTAAAATGCATTTGGATCCCTAATCTACATAGACCAGTTACTTCAATGCACCAACAGAAAAATGTGTTTGTACTGGGTTTTTTCTCTGAAGAATGGATTGCTGGTAAGATTCATAGGGAATGCATGAAATGGCTGAGAAAAAAATTGAATTATACCTCGGGAGCAAAGCCAGCTAAAATACACCCTGATATTTGGTACATACTTCTTTCACAGAATAAAATATTTTCAACTTTCTGAGCACTGTTAATATCTTGTCAGAAGGAGTCAGCTCAAAGAAGAGTTTCAGGGACAAAGCAAAACACTGACATTTCAATTTACTACTCGATAGCAAGATATAATTTCTGCTTTCTAAATGATTTAACTGGAAGAAAAGTGCACATTTTGCATCGCAAGGATATCCATTGTCCAAGTAAGATTAACTGTTTGCTGGGAAATTATTCTTTCCTATACTGGTCAAATAGTTTCTATTAAATGCTGAAAACATGTGATTTTCTCTCTTTCATTGCAACAGTTTAACACCAGACAGCATTATAATAACAGTCAATATTATTACATCATTTTTATTGACAAAATAGATGCAGAGGTTCTTTATTAATTATCAAATAATTAAAACCAAATTGCAGCTATCAGATTACATAAAACATTGATGTAGAGATGCCATATTTCTGTTCTATGATGATAATTCCAGGCATCAACCTCACCAGGAGACTTTATTAAATTTAAGGGAAAAATCCAGTCCCTAATCTCTCTGCAAAGATATCTAATGATCTAAAAGAAATGCAAGGATGAAATATTTTTATGAGAAAAGAAAAAGCAAACTTAAAAAAGCCTTTTCAGCAAGTGCCAAAACAGTGGCTAGTTAGACACCACAAAATCTAGTTACCAGTACTGGGTTTGGAATGCAGGAATTTCTCATTTCTTGGGAGTAAATCACTCCTGAACATCAATACCTCCCAACCCCAACAGCAATTCTGATTCTGAACACCAAAAAAGTCATAATTTGAAAATCTACTCAACTAATCACAATGTACATTTCATTTTCTGAGAAAATGCACCTAAATTCTCTTTTCAACATTTCTAGCAGAGCTGGAAAAACCTTCCTCTGGTAGAAAAAGAAAATAATTAGCTGTGATTTTTAACAAGCTGTTTCTTCTATTTCTGGATTATCATTTGACCAAAGTTTCTTTGAGAACGCAAAGCATGGTGATCACACCATCAGTGCTCAATTCTGCAGCTTAATGTTTTCAACTTCACTTTTATCCCCACTCCACCCTGTGAATGTGTGGCTGTGGCTGTGTGTGTCTGTGTTTAGTAATAGCATGCAAGACAAAGACTATGAGTTACCCTTTCTTTCAGTTCTCACATGAACAGCACTGACCCCAAGCAAGTCACAGAGCCAGTACAGAAATCACTAAAGGGACTGTGGGCATGAATTCCTGTGTGTGAAAGACTGGACTTCTAGCAAAGTCCACAGCAGGCAACAGCCTGGCCAAAAAATGATTACCAATGGAGTGCACTGAACATCCGTGTTAAGGGATTCTGGTAATTTTTGCTGCAGTTAAGCTGCCTGCAAAACAGACATCCCTGTAAAAATGCTGGATTAAGACAGTGGAGAGATGTTGCAACCTACAAGGTTGATCTCATTTAATTTCTAATTTTGTTTGCCATGCATCTGACAACACAGGTTGTCTCTACAAAGCATTTTTTACAAACCTATATATTTGTCTTTTAATTTGAGAGACTGTGAAGTCTGACTATTATGGTGAGCCTGAGCAGAGTAGACAGCTGATGTGCAAAGACCACATTCTGGCCCTTCCTTGCCTTCTGGGCAGCCTTCTCCCAGCAGCCTTCAGCTCCTCAACTACCCCTAAAACATTGGTTTGAGGTATCAAACAGAAGTTGCAACATCTGGAAAAACAAGTGATGGCTTATGTGTGTACCAAGAGATGGCTTAGATGGGTCAAAACAACCCATTCTGCCTGGATCCTGAGCAAACTCAAGCCCCTTGGATAGGAATAATGAGTAAATTAAAGAATCCACTGACCCACACTCGGAACAGCTCGGGAAGTGAAACTCCGGGTTTATAAAGTGGCTCTGCTAAGAAAAGCACATGTTACAGTGTTTATGTCCAAATCAGTGGACATGGGAACGCTGTATTTTTCAGGTTCATACTTTAGCTGCATTCTTACAACATCAACTTGAGAGCTGGCTCGCACCCTTCCTGCTCTGGCTTCCCATCAGAAGGAGCGAGGACAAGCTCAAAGGCAGTTACAGTGTGCCCAACAGGTCCTATGGCCTATGCAAGCAGAGGACCAGGGAGACAGGACATGCCATGAACACACCAGTTCTGCAGAATAGAGACATATAAACGGTCAGGGCTCCCAAATCACCCAAACTACAGTTTAGAACAAAAATTCCAGAATTTCAGTTTGAAGATTCTTGAAAATCCACTGGCAGTTCAGTGAAAAAGACCTGTTAGCAAAGGAAAGCATGAACAAAAGAACAACATCAACCATCTATATTATTAAATCATCTACAACCTCTTCCCTCTCCTGGTGCAATAATCAGGCCTCACCTGAAAAAGAGACACCTGGTCCACATGCCATCCATACTGCTAGGGTGAATAGCCATCCAAATGTACTGTATATGGTCATGCTTTTTATATGTTTCACTTCCGAAAGAAGCAAAGAAGAATAAGCACTGGTAGTCCATCATCTGGGAGGAAATTTGGGTATAACAGGGCAAATTACTAACTCAAAACAGGTGAAGCTTTACTGACTCCCTTTTCACAAAGCCCTGTACATGGGGGCTGAGAGCTGTCCCAGCTGGCTCTAGGCATCATGACTCATCTGCAGGAACAGTAGAGGTGTCCTCCTACAGCAGTGTGCCTGAGCTCATAAGCTGTGCCAGGAAACCCAGGGGATTGAGTGCCTCAGGTTGGTACTAGCTCAGGGATCTACGTACTATGCTCCACTGCAGCCCGTAATTACAAGACCATTTCTCCAAATGGCTACATTTAACACAAAGCACATTTGTATGCCCAGTGAAGTAGAAGAAGATTAATATATGAAAGAACTTCAATCTAAATAGTCACTGGCAACTATAGAAAGGTGCAATATTTCAACACAGATAAATAAGGACTGGATAAATCTACAGTTTTGCATATAAAACAAAACAGCTATGGTATATCATAGCTGTAACCCATATATGACAACCAAGGTTAATTTTGTTTTTGTTCAGGACCAAGGAGCTACCTAAAGAACAGAGAAACAAACACAACCACAGTTCTCTGATTGCAGTATAGCAACAGTTTTTACCTACTCATATGAGTGGTCACAACTTCTTATATATTTAAAAAAAATAAACCACCATATCCTCTAATCATTGCAGATTTGTTCAGGCACTTTCCACAGGGTAGATGAATTCAGGTTATATGTTTCTTAAGGTAAGAAGGCATTGCTTAAAGTCAAAGAGAAGCTGTCTCCTAGAATATCAAGAAAGGCTTAAATAATCCCAGCAAGGTTTGGGACCTTCTGAACCTCCAAGGCATCTTCATGCTGAAGCTGTGAGAAGACCAAGAGCTTAGACCACCACTGCAAATTTCAATTTCTCACTAGACAAAAGAAAAGGTCGTCCCTTCCATATTCCACTACCAACAGGTCATACTGGGCTTCCCCTCTCCTTCCTAGACTCACTGGGACTACAGGCTGACGCACAGAGATGTCCTCTACTGCTTCTCTGCAACTGCAGCATTTCACCTCCAACTGCTTGCTCTGCCCATCATGGTTAAGTCACTGATCTAGACAGAGCCACCTTAACAGGAATTTTGGATGGGTCTTGGTGAAGGGGAGGAAAAAAGAGGACATAATGTTTAATTATAAGAAATGATTGAAATAGGCACAGACATACCCCGGGTGCCTCTGCACTGCAGCAAGCTCTAAACTTGTTATCGTTAATGGTTTAAATTTCACTGTGCTAATCATTTCAGGACACAAGCCTTTCTTGATAATCTAATGAATTATTCCAACATCCTTCAGCAAAAAAAATCCTCCATGACAGCACTAATTACAAGACGTTTTCCCAGTGCTTATGTAAAATATGACAGAGCAGCAGCTTAGGGAATTGCAGAAAACTGCTTCTAATTTCCACTGAGAAACTGACAAACACCTCTCTTTCATCTCTCCCAGCTCTCAAGTAAGATTTAACTTTCTCATTTAGTTAATTACCGAGTGAGGATCATCATTTTCCCGGATCGGAGCGGCACAGAGCCTTTATCGTGTTAACTTGTGAACTTGATCGATGGCTGCTGCTAAAACTTAATAACTTCACCCCCTGGCAAATTGTAAGATAAATATAATAGGAGAAACTCTGACAGTAAAAACCTGCCAGAAATGAGCGCTGTGTTTATGTTTCTTTGCAGGCAGCAAAAAAACAACCGACAGCTTATTACTGGGTGCGTGTTACTTATATTTAAAAGACTCCAGGCAGTTAACTTTCTGCGTACTGTTCAAACTTTACTCACAAGATAAAAGACACTGGGGGGAAAAAAAAAACAAGCAAAGGGATAACAAAGAAAGGAACCATGGAGGTGTATGTCCAGGGGCCAGGACAGGGGGGGAACACAGGGACTTTACCATGAAAGCAAAGCCACGCTTGTGTCTATATCCTGAATATTCTTCAAGATGCTCTTCTAGAGCATGTTA